CCTAATAGCGATGGCCTCCGCCTGGTAGCTTCTTGCTACTAGTAGTAGTGGCCTCCAACCTAATAGCGATGGCCTCCGCCTAGTAGCTTCGTGCTACTAGTAGTAATTGCCTCAAACCAAATGGTAGCGATGGCATCCACCCAGTAGCTTCTTGCTACTGGTAGTAGTGGCCTCCACCCTAATAGCGATGGCCTGCACCTAGTAGCTTCGTGCTACTAGTAGTAATGGCCTCCAACCTAATAGCGATTGCCTCCACCTACTCGTAGTAGCTTCGTGCTACTAGTAGTACTTGCCTCAAACCATTAATAGCGATGGCCTCCACCTATTAGCTTCTTGCTACTAGTCGTAATGGCCTCCAACCTAATAGCGATGGCCTTGACCTAGTAGCTTCTTGCTACCAGTAGTATTGGCCTCCAGCCTAGTAGCGATGGCCTCCACCTAGTAGCTTCTTGTTACCAGTAGTAATGCCAGGAGCATGTATGAGCCGATGTTGCATCGAGCATCAGCATCCACGAAAAATTTTCATGGAATATATAATCAGGAGATGTTAAGATTAAGACTGCTGCGGCTTCTGCCCGTGGTATTGTTTGATGCTTTAACGTAGGCTGCAGACCTGGTTGAACGAAGTTTGTAGATTTCAGCAGGCCACTGTGCCCTCCACTTTCCCCTTCCGAAACTAGAGAGGCGGTGCTGCACCGGGAGTCAGTGGCAGAGGTGCAAATGCGATTGCCAGCCTCGTGTTTGCTGTAGCAACTCAAGGTGCAAGGACCCCTCTATTGGCCCATTTTGAAAGAGAAGGATGTCCAGCACCATTCATATCCGTTCATCATTCAACACGGGCTTCTGTGGCATGTAGCAGATGTGGCCAGAAAAGAGTCCCGCTCAACGATGCCTCAAAAAGGTGCGTAGGTGCAAAACATCATGATGAAAAAGGAGTGGCGCCAAATATGGAGAAATAAACCGAATCCAAGGGAACCCAAGGGAAGTACCAAGGGAATTCAAGGGGCGCAATTTGACAATCCTTGTTGCAGTGCTTCACCGTGTTGCTGGTAGAAAGACAGTGTCAGCGATTCATTCGTGAAAGTCGTCAGTGATGCAGCAGGCACGCCTGAAAGAGCAGCGTGTCACACTTAGCGACAGCGATTTGTTCGATTATATAATTAAAGGCGAGGCGGCCAACCAGCCTGTTGCGGTACGATTCCACAGCCCTCTTAAGAGGGCTGTTGGCTGCCAGACTGACTGCTACATGCAAGTGCCTGATGTGATGAACAGCGTCCAAGCATGTGCAAATAAGTAGTAACTAGTAATTACTTATACGTAATGAGGAATTGCTTCCGGGACCTGCTTGCTTAGGAGAGCTCACCCATGCTGCCGAGAGAGAGTTGCAGGCGCATTCGGGTGATTTAGGTGAGCAAGGGGCGAGAGAAACGAAGGATAACGAAGGATCAACCAAAGACAGTACCCACTACAGAGATTTCAGGGGTCAAGTTCATACACGGGCTTGTGTGGCACAGGATGATGCTATGCCGCATGCCTCATTCACCTGGGATACAGCGGTGAGATAGCCGCCCAATTGATCATCAAACACACGTGGAAGGACATGGCACTGGCCTCGTGGGAGACCATCCCTGTGTGTCGTCCTCATCGTCGGATCGTCCTCCAGCCCTGGAAGGTGCTGGAGGAGACCTCCCAGAAAGTACTTGAAGATTGTCGACTGCTGCAGGTGTGAAAGTGTGTGTGATTGCACATCAATCAACTTATTTATATAAAAAGTGCTCAGCCCTAGGGGTATGTTTATTGCGAGCGTGTGCCGAAACAATTGAACCCTGAGCGAAGCACCCACGTGAGGTTCATTGAATTTCCCAACCAGTTTCCCTGCATTCTCATACTGCACATCCTGTGACATGCTCATGCTGCACATTCACAGCTCTTCCCGCAGGCCCGAGTTCGAGAGTTGGAGCACCATGAGACGAACAGCAGGCTCCCCAGCCGGAGGCATCCCATTGGTGGGGGTTCGTTCACCAAATAGATTCGAGCTCAAGATTCCTGGATGTTGTTGTTGAAATCTTTGCACTGTGAAGTCTTGAGATGGAGGAGAGCCACTAGGGGAGCTAAGAGAGACTCGCTTCTTCCTGCCTAAGAAGAGGCAATAAACAAGATTCGCTCTTTGGGCACAACTGCAGCGTTCCATGAAGCTGAGCTGGTATGCATTTGCTCTCTGTGGGCCGGCATTTGTTCTCGTCACTGGTAACCAAGAGTGACAGCACGTCTCCCCAGGCAGTTGAGGACAGTGCCATTGAGCCGTTTGGCTCAAACAAAGCGCTTACTTTAATTAAGGGCTTATCTATTAATTACTAACACGGTGCATCGCTACTAGTAGCTTGTTACTACTAGAAAGACACCTTGCTACTATATAGTAGCTTCTTGCTACTAGTTTAATTAGTAACTATCTATTTTTTTGCTACAGCGCCGTGTTGGCATCGCTGAGCGCCGTGGTCGACATGGCACGAGATGTTGCGATCGACCAAGCCTTCAAGGAGGCTGAAATTTTGCGCTTGCGGGTCGACTACACAAAAAACAAACCAAATATAACATTCCTGGACCTTAGGGCGCATGTGTTAAGCAGTAGGGTCTCGAGGTAGGAGTTCCATCACGAGGACCGCGGCCAAATTTAGACGTGTTGAAGCTTTTGGCCAACTCGCTTTCGGGTTGATGTTTGCCAATGTTTGCAGATGAATTCGGTGGCGAGGCGGGCCTTGGCTATGGGACTTTTCTGATCCTGCTCATCACTGGAATGTTGCTCGTTTGGCAAGCTGAGCCTACACAAAGGCAGACTATGTATTCAGAGTTGGTCAGCGCTCGAAGAAATACCAGAATCTTGAATCTAGAGCAGGTTAAGTTCTGAATGTTCTGAAGACTCTTTGACTTGCGTTTCAGCCTGAATCGACTTTCAAGAGGCGTAGAAGTCCTGATCTCATGAGGCGAGATCCCAGAACTGGACGTTGGGTGAAAAGTAGACTGGTGTGGCTATTAGTAACAAGTGCCACGCTATTAGAAACAAGTGCCACGCTAGTAGATTTTCCTCCGAGGATTTGGTGTGCCGATGCCGCCGAGATTAGCTTGATCATGCAGCTTAGAAAACTGACGGTCTGCCCCAAGGGCACACCAAACGCAAACAACTCCTGATTGTGAAAGGTTTATGCACCGTGTGTATGTTATATATATATATATAAGCCATTGTAAGCTCCTAATGGTGTTCAGCTCTGACTTCAATGCCTGCAGCACTTGCACAGTGTGATGCTTCCCACACATAATTCAGATCGAACTGGGAAGTGCGTGAAGGTGAGTTGAAAGGTGTTGAAAACAATTGAAAACTAAGGTATGTGATCAAGGATGTGCAAAAGGCTCTCCGACTGTCGGATGCATCAGTGGTGTTGCTTGAGCAGGTGCCCAGCCTTAAGCATTGAAGCGCTTGTTGCGTTTTCAAGCACTTCATTTGCCTGGACAGTCGGCAGTACTATCAAACACACCGAACGTTCAGCACAGTGCAGGTGTTAGATCTCATGTCAAGCGGGAAGCGTTTGCTTTGCCAGATGTCAGGCGTCTTTCGCCGGGCAGTTGTTGGGCCCCATGTTCTGGGGGCGATTCGCAGACACTCGTGGCCGACGCCCTGCCATTTTGCCATTGGCCAGCATTATAGCAGCAAGCACACTTTCCACAATGCACACAACAAAGTATTCAAATAAGAATAATAAAAGATTAAAGTCTCAAAGCGCACAACGCCAGGTTTAGGAAGGATTGTGATGAAAAGACATTTGCTACCCCAACCAAACCACAAATGACCTACTGACAACGGCCCTACAGCTGGAACAATCCAACAAGAGTCGCCAGAAACGACTGTCCAAACTTGGCTGAGGCTTTGCAGTGGCTTCGTGCTTGGCAGCTGGCTGAGCACAGCATGCTCAATTTCTTGCTTTGTTGCCACACGCCAGACCTCACAGTGTAAATGAATCCCTTCCACCTATTGAAAGACCCCCCCCAATAAAACACTTCCGGTCTCACTTTTGTTACAGTACTAGTGGGTGGGTCCTCTAAATAGGAGGACCTGCAAAGATGGACACCTGGGAAGAGCTTCAACACTGAAAAGTCACCTAGACACAAATCAAAAAAGTAGTTGATCACAAATTGACAAAACCTCCAGATAGAAGGGTCTTCCTTTTCCCTTTACAAAGCCCTCTGTTAAAGTAGTGGTTCTTTGATATTCTTGGATTTTTACATTCCATCAGATTAGCCACTAAAGAATTGAATGGTTTTGAAAGGTGATGTCGCTGTGTCATGCTGTTTGGCGAGGCTTTGGTGGAAGGTATTGGGAAGGGTTGACATGCGTATGTAAATGCGGCGTGTCGCTGGTGAGGGTCAAGATGGGTGGTGACTAGTGGGCGGGTACCTCATCAAAAAATATCAAAAAATCCAACAACATCCAAAATGACCTTGGGTGTAGTCTAGGCGGCAATTGAAAAAGAGACTGTCCGACATGCGTCTTTTGTACTGGGTAGTGTAAGTTTAATAGGTGCTTGGGATTAGTGAACATAAAGTTTCAATTTTCGTTGCTCAGTGGCGGTAACATGCGGTAACTCATGATTGCCTTGAAGGTTGAAGATTGTTCGAGGCTGTTGCTATCAAGCTGCATGATGCGTCCACAAAAGAAACGTCCCTCGGCAAGTTTGCAGCTAAGGATTTGGGATCATCACGGCTTGCGCACAAACCTTTTGGCAACTGGTGATCGTTTGAAACCCAGCCCTTGCGCGGGAGTGTCCATGGCTGGTTTGCTCTGAAACTCATGTCCCAACAGTAGTGAACAATTGCAGCTTTCTGTTTCAGGCGCGTGCTGGAGTTGGCTTTGGTATCTCGGTTATGTTCATTTGCGTGGACATAGCGTGCGAGCTTCTGCCCAAGGAGTGCCGGTTGAACCTTAGGGGTGAACGATGATGTTTCGGCAGAGGGAAACTCTTCAGTTGAGAAGCAGCTAGCAACTATAGCTGTTACGCGAGGAGAGGGCTTTGAGCATTGCTTTGAACTTCTTCCACCCTTTTGGCCTTTCGGGCTGCAGACCTTGCGATTTGGGATGTACTGTATATAATTGATGCAAGAATCCAGCCAGCAGCTCCGGCAGTGTTCCATGATGGTGCCATTTTGTCAGCGATCAACAGATTCATACCCAAAGTGCCACGGCGCCAGTCTGCCTCAGGGAGCATGTTCACCATGTTTTGCGCCTTTCTCTTCTTGGAGAACTCTGGCTGGCGCCACCTGCCTGCAATAACCACAACGAATCTAAATGATTACAGTAGCCCTGTTCTTGAAAATCCATGGTTTTGACTGGTGAGGCCGTCGTGGCCATTTGTTGATAGGGGGGCGGGCACAGACCGGTCTCCTTGTTCTAATCGTAGCGGGTTGAGCTCTCAAGCTTAGGGGCACCATTGCTTTCTTCAATGAACATTTGTCGAGAAGTGGCCGAAGTGCTGAGCATAGAAAACATGAAAGCGTGTCTCTTGACTTGCATCGTTTGCTAGGAGCATCATGAGTTGAAGTGACAATTATTCTCTAACTGGGTTGTGCTAGTCCAGATGTGGAGACACGTGAGAAACTGCAAGCTCCATGTTCCGAGGGATGCTGACGTCTTGTGCAGTGCTGCCTACCTTCTTTGCACTGGGACTGGCTTTAGCTTATCTTCCAGAGCAGCTTGGTTGCTGAAGAGTGTTTGAGAGCCTGCCTCCGGCAGCATTTTTTACCAGTGGTGGTGGGTGATTCTAGATTCTAGATGCAGGAGGCTTCAGGAGGCCATTCAAAGGCAGCTGGTGCGGCCATAATTGGAACGATAGACCACCTTCGAGACATTGCCTTTACACTTCCGCATGCTGACATACAACCAAAGTTTAATCTCCGGTTTGTGTGTATAACGCGGATGCCCAGCTTGCCATTAGGAGAATTACAAGGCAATTTGGGTGGAGATAGACATAACATTCACGTCCAGCTGTGGCCTCATGACGCTGCAGATTCGAAACCTATTGATCTCGGATGCAACTGATTTGCTGAAAGGGGGTCGAGTGAGCATTCCTTTGGGTCCGGAGCCCTTAAGGTCACCACGCTGGCTGTTGGAGAATGGGCGACATTTCGAGGTGCTGATCCCTGCCACGTCACGGCTGAACAAATGGAGGAAACGAAGATATTGTGCATATACTGGATGAAACCTAAACTACATATACTGGATGAAACCTAAACCGCAAGCATCCCAAAGTTGAGTCGGCATCAGTGTCGGCATAGTATGTTTACTTTGCACCAACAGTAGATGCTCTTCAAACTCATCAAACGTCAGGCCTTGCAAAGCATTAGGCACATTGCCGATCTCAACGGAGCCCGGGAGCCTATTTGCTTCGGGAGCAGGTTCGGAGTTTAGTAGGAACACTATGAGGTGGTTCAGTAGAAACACGCTCAGAGTCAATATCAGCCTGTGCATCGTCCTTGTGTTAGTTGAGCCATCATAGATCCACCCTTTGCTCATGTTTGTCCTCACCTTTCTGGTTGTCGAGGCACATCCTTGCCCCCCTCATATGTATCAGTTTTGTCCCCATGCTATTGGCCCAGCAATTTTTTCGTCCAGCACATGGTTTGTCCGAAGCTGCAGGGAGTGAATTCCTACAAGTATCAACCCTGTTTCCTGTCAACGAAGCATGTGAATAATTGGGTAGCTGAATAAGCCCAGGTGGCGTCACAAGTGATACTCGGTCCCAGGTGAAAACCTCCTTCACCGGGCTTCTTCCAGAATTGCCAGAGTCAGAGCTGATTCCTGATGCAAGCCCAAAGGCGAGCAAACCAGAGGCATTCAATACTGTATGCGCTTGAACTCAATCACGTGCCGCTTGCTGAAGCTTATCCATGCAGCTTTGACCAGCAACTAGCAGCAAACGCAATATGACAAACAATTTTTGCCATGCTGGCAGTGAAGGATGCTTGGTTTGTTTGGGGCCAACATCGGTGGACATTGCTGAATCAGATGTGCGTATGGCTTCTTGGCGTGACAGTACGGCAGTTGGCAGGAAGCAAGAGACGCACTAAGAGACGCTTGTTGGAACCCCATTTGTTGGCGTCACACGCTGCTTCCCCAGTGCTGCAGTGTTGCAGGGATGCACTCCAGCAGTAGTTTTGCTCACCTTTTGGTCGATGTCCTCTGAGGTTTTCTTTGGGTATGGTGCCTCGTCAGCTTGATCGGAGCTCCAGTAATTTCTTGGTGTATATATATATAGAAATTTGGTGGCCAGTGCGCATTATTAGATGCTAGACTGCTAGATTCTAGATCAGCTTTGGGCCTTCACCTGTATTATCGCTGCTACGGAATGATGCATGTTTTCCCCACCTGCCAGGTCAGGGCTGTTAGAATTAAGAGCACTCCGCAGCTCGTCCTCCTCCTCCTCCTCCTCCTCGTGCTCCCGGCCCTCAACTGCAAGCTCCCGATCGCCCGATCGCAGTTGGCACTGCCGGACCTCAACTGCAAGTGCTAGATCGCAGTATGCGCAAGTGCTAGATCTCAATGGGCACCAGTGGGCCTCAACCGCGAGCGCCAGACCCCAGTGGGCACCACCGGGCCTCAACCGCCAACAAGCATGCCAGATAGAGTGCAACAACCAAATTTGTGCCAAATAGAATGCCAAATTACACGCCAATTGGAATGTCAGACTTTATGCCAGTTCGGGTGCCTGAATACAATCAAATGGCGCTTTCATTTCTTGAAGCGTTTCCGACTGGGACTTGAATCTATGGAAGCCGTGGCGATATCGCGATTCGCTGGGGAGAAGCCTTTCATTTGCGACTTGAAGGTTTTTTTCTGCAACTGTGGTGGTGATGGAAGGAGTGGTGATGGTGGTGGGGTGGGTGGGGGATGTGCGCATATACATGATGATGAGGTAACAAAAAGTCTTAATTCTGAGGGTTTTCCTTGCTGGCATGGGGTCTGACCTCGTTCACCCTCTTGTTCGCCCTCGTTCTGATACCTGCTTGAACTTGTGTGGCTTTTCTTGGCATCCAAGTCTAAGCGAAGTGACCAGAGCCTGGCCCAAAGAATGTCAAGCAAGGAATTTTGGTAACACCATTGCTAAATCATTACGCCAGATGAAATTAGAATGTCAGAATTGCATGCCAGATTGAATGCCAATGAGTATAAATGCCAAATAGAACTGAATGCCAGATAGAATGCCAGACTATGTGCAAGCTTGGGGGGGCCAGAGTCATATATGCAAGATAGACGCCGCCTTTGATGGTGGAGACCACTTCAAGTAAAGTAATCGTTGCATGTTTTTTGACACAGAAAGTCCACACTTCCATCCGAGATTGCCTGTTTTGTCCCTGGTTTTGCGCATTTTGCGATCTCGACACGCCACTCAGAACTACCCGGGTATTGTACTGTTTGGCCCTCAGCCTGGGAGCTTGGGATGAGCCGGAGGCACTTGGGGTGAGTGGATGTGAAAGAACGACCTCAAGCGGCAGAGGTAGGCATGCCAAACGGATCCAATCTGTGCAGCACATGGCACAACGAAGACCTGAGGCTGGGGGGCCACCCTACTGGTGAAGACAGTGAGCACCTCAATACTCCAACGGAGTTTGTTCCAAAGCATGGTTGGCTTGATTTTGTTTAAATTTTGTTGTGGGATATGTTGACCTGATGCTAGCGTCGAGCTTCAGTGTGTTAAGAACGTTAAGACATGTTAAGACTGCCTTTGTGCCAAACCGAAAGACGTTTTTGCTGTTGGAGATTTGAAGGTAACTGACCCTGTAGGACCGAGATATTTCTTTTGGTGTGAATGAGGTAGTGGTGGACGTTGATGTCACGAAGCAGGACTCTGGCCAAGTTGTGCGTGTGTGACACAGTACAGTATGTGGATGCTTATGCTGAGGCTGTTGATAATCTCCTATGCACCTCCGCCTCTTTCTAGCAAGTTGTGCTTTGATGGGCCATGCTGCACCCACAAACTTTGCAAGCAGGAGATGGACTTTGTATCTCTGAGCATCGCAGCTTGGGGCGAATTCTTCAGTGTGCCTTGGAATCAGTTGCCGGAACTAGCGAGGACAAGTTTGCTGGGTTTGCCATGCTTTGTTTCGCATGGCCGCCATGGCCACTGGGCACTTGCTTGGATGGACTGGTCGGACTGGTGTCCGCCAGCCAATGTACAATCAGGGCTAATTAGTACAGTAAATATGTATGCCGCGTGCACTCACGTAGCTAGGCTCGCTAGCACTATATAACTATAGTTATATATACAGCATGTACATACTAATACATACACACATACACACGCATACACAGACAGACACAGAGAGACAGAGAGACAGACAGACAGACAGACAGACAGACAGACAGACAGACAGACAGA